CCGCAGGCGAGCTTAGACATACATGGATTTTCCTTCCGCCATAAATCGTGTGGCTTTTTCTTCTACTTTTGCTTGGCGAGATTAAGCAGACGGAAGATGATGTTTGGTCTCTGGCGATCGAAAGTTGTGCAGAAACCGAAGATGGATGCTTGGTCTCCGGTGGCCAAAGGTTATGGACGAGGCGTGGGGCTAAAGGCTGAAACAGATCTGGATTCGAGGTCATCTGTGTTAGGTGGCGACAGAGGAGGCTTAGTAGAGAACATGATGAATAAGAGGCAAGACTGTGTTAGGTGAGGAAGAAGCTACAGTACTGCTGGATTGTCCATCTTCTAAACCGCCGTCATGGAGTGCAGGAGAGTCTAGGGTTTGGAATCATCTTTTTAATTTTACTCTTTGCATGCGATTTATTTTTCATGACCAAACTATTATTTTTTTGTTTGTTACTTATATTATTGTAAGACTCTTGCATTAGGATTGAGTGATAGGAGATCTACTTTAACCGTATTTGGCTCATGTAAGCCCATTATAGGAACATCGAGTAATATTGTTTCTCAAAAGGTGATTGATTCTAAGTCTGATTCGAGGTCCGACGGTTGACTATGGTCCTTACATCGTTTTAACCGCTTTTTGAATGTTAATGTTGTGGTATCAATGTAAGCCCCCTCTTTAAAAAAACATATTTCTTACTACCTTCTTCCTAGGTTGATTTGCAAAGTAAACTCTTTTTTGGTCAAATAGTTTCTTTTTATTCACTTAATTAAGATATCACTTTTTGATTATGTTATAATTTGGCCTTACAAAAAAAAGTACTTCGTATGTTGTAATTTGGATTTTGCAATTTTAAAAGTATTTTAATGTGGTTTCTAAATATGTAAATTTTAATCATTAAATATTGTATTAATTATCTTTAGGGAGGACTTACCATTAAGATTGATAAAAAAATGTTTAATTTGCAAATCAATTTGGGACGAATGAGGTAATTAAAAAATTTCAGATAAACTATAGTAGTACAAATTTAAATGATTAAATCATACTTCGGTCCCATTCGATTAGGTATCGGTTCTCATTTTATGAGAACCCGTCATGGCATTGTTTGGAACTGGTACGGTCTAGTTTGAGACAACAAAATTTAAGATCCGTTTCAAATTTGGTTTATCGATCTAGTACCATACCAACCTGGTTCGGTACAAAGCCGGTTTTGGATTTTTGCCCACCCCTAAAAAATACTAGGCGTACTTCATTCTGAGTACTCCCGTTAGTACCCCTATTTGTGTGATTTACAAAAGCAATTCATAATAAATGGAGCAACTTTTTTTATGAATGACCTTTTGTGAACCACACAAATAAGGGTACAAATGGAATACCCAAAACGGGGTACCCGAAGAATAACTCATTTTAGAATGCATAGTACATTTTGGAGTATAATACTCTGCTATTCAAAGTTCAAATGAAGATTTATATGGAGTACTCATTTTAGAATAATTAAAATACCCCAAACATTGAAGGGTGTGAAATAAACATCCCCAATTTGCACATGTAATTTAAATATCTCAAATTATATATATATATATATACATACATACAAACATACATATATATATATATATAATTATTTTAGCACCATGGTCATGTGTTATTCACATATTTGTTTCAAAAATGTTGATTTTTGGTGTTAATTTCATAATTTGAATTATTTTAGCATTCGTGAAGATACAATTAACATTCTAAACTTTCATTTTAACATAAATAGCATTACCCCCACTCTCTCTATATAATTGCAACGTTTTCAAGTTGCTATTTCTAATTATGTAATTAATACCATAAGTTTACATTTTTGAAAGAAATAATACATGGGTATTTTAATTACATAATAAAATTTGGAGTGCTTATCTCACTCCCTTTTAAAGTTTGAGCTATTTTAATTATATTTCCCATTTCAAAAATTTTTAAACTTTTGTCAATTAATCGATTTTGGCTAATGATATTTTTAATATAAACTTATCTTGAATATAAACAAATAAAAAGCTCTGTGTTCAAAATATTTTAATAGAAATATAAAATTTATAAATTACATACAAAAATAATAATCAAAATCATAGTTCAAAGTTTGTCATCGTTACATAATATGTTTTAGCTCTACTCGCGTGTTTTGTCTCATTTCAATCTCACATCCACCACAAAATAGACTTAAATAAATAAATTAGACCACACTTAAACAAACAAGTTCAGATTGCACCAAAAAACATGCATTCATTAGACCATATATAATTAAGTCCAATTAAAAATAAAACATCTTAAACTCACTCTCCGTAATTTCTTCTAATAACACACTGAATCTCAATTGAGACGTGCATTAGTAAATAGTAAACTTATAACAGATAATATTTCATAATTAATTGATGCTACATTGTTTAAAGTAAAAAGGTACGAAAGGAAAGGAAATCAAAACGATAAAAAAAAAGTGAGAAAACAATCAAGCGCCAATCAGCGAAGTGTAAAAAAAAAGGATGAAGTAAATGAATTTTAAAAAAAAAATCATTACTTATTAAATTTATAAGAGTGGAAAATCCTAAATTTTAAAACATAGACAACAATGTAAATAAAACAATATCAAAGTGAGAGAAATTTATAATGAATAGAGGCACTATATTGTACCACTGATTGTACAGTGCACACCGTGAAGTCGATGTCATTTTTGTAATTTTAGTTGAAAGTCGCGACTTTTGTTGATTGAGTATCAAGTGTACTATGTTGAGCATTTGCAGTTGGATATTGATAAGGATTTTTTATAAAAATATTACTAAAATAAAACTTATTAACATGATTATGACCATTCATTACTACAACATGGTGATGTAGTAACTTAAGTTCAAAACTTGAACATGAATTACTATGATTTCATTACTACTCTAGTAACTAATCATATTTTTGTAAATCATCTTTATTTTGGTTATATTTATGTAATTATTTCTATTTGGGTTATATTTATGTAATCATCTTTATGACTCTCAATAAGAATCATTGTAAACCCCAATTTATTGTGTCGTTTTATAATGTTTCACTCATGCACATTTTGTGGTTAATATGTACTCCCTCCGTCCCTTATTAAACTTCCAAATAGGTTTGGCACACAATTTAAGATAGTGGGTATTGTGTGGTGGAGAGTTGTGCAGAGGAGAGATAAATGTGTAAGAATTGCTGTGAACCACAAATTCTGGCCAAAAAGGGAAAGTGGAAGTTTTAATTGGGATGGACGAAAAAGGAAAGTTGGAAGTTTATTTAGGGACGGAGGGAGTATAACATAAAACACATTTAATAGTCTTCATATCATAGTTCCTCAAGCGTATGAGTTTGTTAAGAGGTTAATGTATGTACAAATAGACTTGTAAACGTTTCCGTTTGACAAATATAAATGAGAATGACATAGATGATCAATGTTAAAATGCAAATATCTCCATTGAGCATCATATTACTACCAATGATTTATTTATCGCCCAATATACTATGGACACTAATTTTGTGGTGTTTATAACTTCAATGTAGTTTCCTCATGATTGCATCATGTAACAGAAATTAGTTTAAACTCCACTTAACAATCGAAACAAAACTATTACGATTTGTTGGTTTGGGGGTAATTATGGAATTATTTAATTTACTTTTAAATATGTTGATAAATATGCATAAAAGTATAACATGGTATTATTTAATTTACTTTTACAGTAAAATTTACAGATGAAAATTAGATTAATTAAATTTGATGTGCACATATTACTTGTTGCTTATGCATTGCAAAAGCTTAAAATATAGGAGTAGTAGCTAATATTGCTTGTGTTAATATTCTTATTTTTTTAAAATCGTAAAATGGCTACAATAGAGCTAGCCCTGTAGACCCACCCTAAAAAATATACTACATTCGTTCTCTTTTAATTGCACCATTGAACTTTATACACTGATCATATATTCTACCTTGACAATATTCTATTTAGTACTGTATCATAAATTAAATTTTTAATTTTTTTTGTTAAATTCCTCTCATTTAAATTGTATATTAAGTATCTCTCTCTATAGCGATCATCTCCCTACGAGTTAGGGTTTCGTTCTTCTGCTTTCGTCATTGACGAAGAGGGGTCATCGGTCGATTTCGGTCGTGATGCTTTGGCGGCCAGGGCTTGACTTCTGTTGTTGTTTCTGGTCGAAGGTCGAGTGTTGACAAAGAAAAGGCGGATAAGCTGTGGCGGAACTTGGGTTCGATTCAGCAGCAAGGGATATCAATGGAGGATATCGTCAATCAATACAAAAGTAGGCTATTGAGGCAGATGAGTGGCGGGCACGTCCCCCTCCCGAGCCGCCGCCATGGAGTGCACGCGAGTCAATTGTTTGGAAGAAGATGAGTGAACTCTAGTTTAATTCCGTTTTATTTTGTTTGTGTTTTTCCTTCGAATTGTATGTTGTTTTGGACGTGTTCTTATTTCCTAGCAGAGAGATTCTAGAATTAAAATCAGGTGATGAGAAGTCTGGTTTGCTTGTCATTTGCTCAGTTAAGCCCATTGCAGGATCAACGATTATTATTGTTTCTACAGAGGTGATAGATTCTAAGTCTGGTTTAAGGACGAACGACAGACAGACTTTTTACCGTTTTGTTTCATGCCTTTTCTTTGATTGTATCATCAGCCATGTGACGAACGTTTTGTTGATTCAATATATTTGTTGGTTTGACAATTTAAAAATAAAAAAATCTTCTCATTTAAATTTTCAAAATATGAACTTTTCAATTGTTTTACTAAAGAAATGAAAGATATTAATAATCAAAATATTTTTCAATTGAATTAAAATGGATCGTTGCAATTAAAAAGGAACGGATGAAATATTTTTTTGACTACTATTACCTATATAGCCATATAGGTATAGAAATTAGGCCCACCCTCAATATACCCAATAGAGTTAAGCCCAGCCCAAAAATAAAGACGGCCCAAATTTCCAAATCAGCCAATTAGCCAAACTAGCGAAGGACGCAAGGGGTGTCATCAATCGACGACGCCTCGCTCATAGCTGCAAAAAAGAAAACCAAACAAGCCGCAAGTTTTGGTTCAGACTCCAGTGCTCGCCATTCGCCAGCCATTTTTGCTTTTCGTCGCCTGGCCGCCTCTCCGGACGCAGGTAAGTTTGTTTTGTTTTCTTCTAAGTTTGCTAATTGCTACGTGCCTACTTTGCCAAGTTTTTTAGTCGTATGCGTATTTGGGTGAACTATATTCAATTTGAGTAATTTGATATTTGAGTGAATCACTTACTAATTTTAACATTCAGTATGAATTTAATATGAATGTGACCTGTGATTCCTTAGTTGTAATTTAATAGAAAAGTTGTTTTTACAGTAATTAGTGAACAGAAAAGTTATTTTTACAGTAAACAGTAGTATACGATTCTACGTCCAATTTACAAACACCCGTTCTTCTTTAGGTTACTGTTCCGGCTAGTTCACAGCAGCCAAAACCTAAAACTTCATTGTTTTTTTAGGTTGTTACCGTTCCCATCGCTGCTAGCAGGAAGCACTCTTTGACCCCTCCAGCGCGAAGAACACGCCATTGTCCTCTTCGTCGATAGACAGGTTCCCGTACAACTCCTCAAAGCCCCCCGTTTAGTCCAGCACCTTCCGATCACTTGCGCCCTGTTGCCGCCGCACAACTCCTCGCCATACCCACAAGGCCGGCGGACAGAAACAAAAGTTAACGTAGAGTTCATTAAGCAATCAATAACAAAATTCTCAAACTTTATCAGCTTCCTGTCCATCTGTTCTTAGAAATCATACAAACAACTTCCGGTTGGAGGAGAAATGGCTGAGCATGTTGAAGAAGAAATGGCTGAGCACGTTGAAGAAGAGAAATCATTCAAAGAATTAGGAGTTTGTGACCAACTTGTGGAGGCTTGCCACAATTTGGGCTGGAAAACGGCTTCTAAGATTCAAGCTGAGGCTATTCCATATGCCCTGGAAGGTTCGTCCAAGTTTTAGTTCAGTTTTTCAATTCCATGCTTCATTTTTTTTTTCAGTTTCTGCTGAATGATATATGTGATTAGGTCCTAAAAATAAATGAATTAAAATTGGGTACTGTTTAGGGAAAGATATAATTGGGCTTGCACAGACGGGCTCAGGAAAGACGGGAGCTTTTGCAATTCCAATACTGCAAGCACTTCTAGACGCTCCGCAACCATTCTTTGCATGCGTGCTCTCTCCAACTAGGTTAGTGATTTCTTTTACCTTTTCTCTCTCAATTCATTTTTATTGCTCAATGGTTTAATTTTTATCTCTATTTATCTTCCAGGGAACTTGCAATCCAAATTTCTCAGCAGTTTGAAGCACTTGGAGCTGGATTTAATGTCAAGTGTACAGCTGTGAGTTTTCATTGAAATAAATTACTCCGTATAATAATATTTCAAATTTATTGCTTATCTTCTATGATTTGTTCAGTATGCCAAATAGAAAAGGCCTAAAGTAAAAGAAAGTATTTGTCGGGCAACTTTAGGACGACTAAAGTTAAAAGGCATAATGGGGTGAAATTGGAAGGGAAGAACTATGAGTATGCCAAGCATAAAATGTTTTGAGAGGGCTTGTGATACTCGAACCATTTGAGACATTTTTTCTCTTTTTTTACATTTCCCCCCCATTCTTTTATCTCCATATACTACTTAAATTTGACTTATGCAGATAACTGACAACAAAATGCTAATTCAAAACATTTAGTAACTAAAAAATGAGATATGTTAATGTCTCACAAATCATACATGCATTTAACTATATTTTTGAGCCCATCATTATTTATTGTTCAAGGTTATAGTGAGAAATGTAGATTAGTTGCATGACCTTATATTTATATATTAAAAGTAGATACATTGGGAAGTATTTCCCTAGTTACATTATCATCAATTATGTACCCAGACAGACATTGCTACCCAACAAGCTGAGTCAATATTCAATACACAAGCCTTTTTATGATGTACACATGAAGTTATCATTGAAATGATTTCAAATGGAAATTTAATTATGCTATTTTCACTTTCTTAATAATCAAGTTAAATCTTCTTTTTCAATTTTCGTTTAGCTCGTAGGGGGGCTTGATCAAGTACAACAGAGCATTGCCCTTGCAAAACGACCACACATTCTTGTAAGTATTGCAGTTTCTGTATTAAATGTTTACACCTGGTCACATTAATATCCTGAATGAGTATGTCTTTATTGCCAGCCTACAAGCAAGGTTTGAAATCAGGACTAGGATAGTGAATCATAGGGCCTATTTTTTGAAGTGTGAGTTGTACTGAATTATGAATAGTAAGATACATGATCAAGTATGAATATACTACACGTAACACAGTAACACACTAACACGTATATTTTAGCGTAGATAAACATTCAAAACAAAATAAAAGTAATTAAAGTATTTGAAATCAAACAAGAGTAGATATCCTAAATAGCTATAGCAGCCACATTTCTTTAAGTTCGAGCCATGGCAGACTGCCAAGATTAGAACAGAGTGACTCAGATGATGGGATTTTCAAACCACTCAATGGATATACTCAACCCATTTGTTTTCTAACGAGCTGAATTGTTTTCTAGGTGGCAACACCTGGTCGTCTTTTAGATCATCTGTCAAATACCAAAGGATTTTCTCTCCGTGCCTTGAAGTTTTTGGTACTTTGTTTCTCTCTCTTTTTGAGTTAATTGGAGTTCTGATCACCTATATATTCTCTTATGGGACTACCGGGCCTTTCTTTAATGAAGGTGTTGGATGAGGCAGATAGGTTACTGAATGAGGATTTTGAAAAAGCACTTGATGATATTTTGAATAATATTCCCCGTGAGAGGAGGACTTATCTGTTTTCTGCCACCATGACCAAAAAGGTTTGTACTAAATTTTTATTGCAAGTAAGAAAACCTGTTACCTCTACAAAAGTTGTTCATCCAGAGTAGTGCCAATGCGAAAAATGGTTTTATTATGTTGCTGGTATGATTTGTATTGCATTAAATATTTTGGTGCCTAAGTTTGTCTTTTGGACTTCTAGATATCATGATACCTATAAAGTTTTGTGCCATAACTATCTGAACTCATTGGCGTCCAGATAAAACCAATTGTTATGACGATTTGGAATTTCATCTCAACAAAACCTTCTAAACAGGTCACGATAAGAAGGGTTTCCGGCATAAAAGTTTAAACAAATAAATAACCCTATAAATTTCATGCCACTGACCCTAATGTAGTTCAAAGTTGAAATTAAGGTGCCGCCCATGATGAAACAGCCTTTGTATCTTAATTCATACTACCGAATAATAACCATCTCTTTCCAAATCCATATTTTTGGGTCTTCATTATAGAGCATTAGTAGAGATGACTATCACGCAAGACTGTATATATTCTGGAAAAACACATAAGAAAATCAATTTTTCCCTATTGTTCGCATTACTATTGATGACTAAGCTTTTCTGAGCTATGTGCTACACCTAAGACATGGCTGGAAATTTATTGAAGGAACAAAGATGTTATTAGTAAAGATATGATTTATAGCCTTTGTTTCTTAATTCTTACTACCATATAATAATCCTCTCTTTCCAATGCACATATTTGTCGGTCTTCCTTATAGAGCATTACTAGGAATGACTATTATGTAAGCCTATATCCATTGTTTTTAAAAAACACAAGAGAACCCATTTTTCCATTTTGTTCACTTTATTACTGATGACTAATTTTTTTCTGAGCTATGTGCTACACTGAAGACATGTCTAGAGAGTTAATGAAGGAATGAAGATATTATGTGTTGATAAACATATCGTTCTGTGTTGCGCAGGTCGGTAAACTTCAGAGGGCTTGTCTAAGGAATCCTGTAAAGGTGAGATGACTATTTTCTTTGCAACAAGTGTTGGCTAGCGTTGCTAAAAAAATTTGACTCCTTCCCGTTTAATTTCAGATTGAGGCGGCCTCAAAGTATTCGACAGTTGATACGTTAAAACAGCAGTATTGCTTTTTTCCTGCAAAATACAAGGTTTGCAAATCCCAATGCTGCAATGTGTTTTTGAATGTTGTATACTAGTCTCGTTAAGTGTCCTGCATCGGATGTTTACTAGTATCTAATCTAATATATGTGTGAGGTAAACCTCACACCTTGAGGATACTTTTGGGATGAGTTAAGTGTGTGGTGTCCCGTTTAGGATGATTACTCAATTTAATATGTTACCGGTTTGGTATGATCTGGGTTATATACTCGGTGAGTACTCGGCGAGTACTCGCAACTCGGGTGGTGAGCTTGCCGATTAGCTACTTGACTCGGTCCGTATAATATTTCCGAGTTACTCGCCGAGTGTTCAGCGAGTTTCTCAACTTGGGGAAGTTATCAACTCGCCGAGTTACTCGGCTAGGCATAACAATTTTGTTTTTTTGTTAAATCTGAAAAGTTTTAATTAAAGAGGGATACTGTGGAATTTATAAATAATGAGTGGGTATTTTAAAAATTGGAAACAAACCTTAAAAAGTCTAGGTTTAAAAGTATTTTCATACATCTGCTCATTCCAGCAGTGGTTCCTCCTCATATCTAGCTATGTTATTCTCCTTCATGGCTTTATCTTCTTTCTTGTTTCTTCTTCATTAGGATTTTTTTCATATCTAAAAATTTTAAGATTAATATATTACTATAATTTTGAATATTTATATTTTTAAAATTAATTAGTATAGGACCAAGTAGTCACTGAGTAATACCGAGTACTAGGTCCTACTTGCTACTCGGCCCTTGACCGAGTAGCGATTTAACTACTTAAGGTATGATGGTAGTTTGTTTGCACCTTAGGGTTGGTTTTGCCCACTACTCAAGGTTAGACACATATAAGTGCAAGATAAACTTTATGTTTTCATTATCCTGTTGGTGCAAGTGAGACCCAATATAATAAAACAAAATCTGAAGATGTGATGTATTGCACGATTTGTTGATGACATTCCCAGTAGACCAAGTTTGGGATTGATGAATATTTCCCATATGTTACACCAAGACTTGAGCCAAACCAACTTTTTTTCCCTATTTTTCCCTTATTGAACCTTATTTTGTGTTGAAATTATGTTGTCCATTTTCACAGGATTGCTATCTTGTCTATATACTGACTGAGATGTCTGGGAGCACATCAATGGTGTTCACACGTACATGTGACGCGACTCGTCTTTTAGCTTTAATGCTTCGAAACCTTGGCATTAGAGCCATACCAATTAGTGGCCAAATGAGCCAGGTTACATATTTTTCCTTTGTTATGTTTGAAGACTTATGCTTCTATTTTAAACTTAAGTTCTATTATCTCCCTGAGTTCCTTTTTAAAAATTAAATTTATTCCTTATGTACTATTTTGTGGACAATTGTGATAGGGAAAAAGACTTGGAGCATTGAATGAATTCAAATCAGGAAAGTGCAACGTTCTAATTTGTACGGATGTTGCGAGTCGAGGACTTGATATTCCATCTGTTGATATGGTTATTAACTATGATATCCCAACAAACTCCAAGGTCTGGCATCATTGATTTCCACTTTAAATTGTTTTATGTTGATGTTCTTCATGAGTGTATGGACTATGGAATCAAATCCATACACCTGTCTTCTACTCTAGTATATGAAATCCCTTGTGTATGAAATTTGATATTGCCTTTTGTTTGTAGAGGTAAAAATAGTCATTGCGCCTCTTAGGTTTGCTCAAATTAAATATCCTACCCTATACTGATGGTAATAACCATCACCATAAATGGTGCAATATTAGGAACATTGTATAACTATTACACCCTCCGACCCAAAATTCACTTCCATTTTTATGCACCTTTATTAAAACACTAGCTAATTTGGCTATTGGGGAAGGGGTAGTTTGTTTTTCAATTATACAAGGTTGGGGTATTTAATTTGACCATACCATCTTCTGTTTCTCTGCCCTTAAAAAAATCTTCTGCTCCTCTAGTTATATTTTAATTCATTTTATATTTTTTTTATTTTATCCTTGGACAGCCACAAGTAAGTTAAATGTAAGATATATTGTCATACCACTGTTTTTGAATTGGAGTTTAGTGTTTAGTGCTTCAAGCTTACAAGGTTCCATAATGTATTGCTTTGCTATATTCTTTGGTTAATGATTATCAGCATACTAGTGATGCCTCTTACTGGCGTTTTTTCAATATACAATAACTGAATAATCTTAACACCCAATGAGTTAAGATGCAATCTGCCGATGTTATCCGCTAGTATCTTCATCTTCCATTTTTCTTGAACTCTTTTACTGCTCAATTTGTAGTTCATAAATTTAATTAATGATGCCAGGCTATAACTGCCTTTATATTGCCTCGCTATGGCTCCTATTATATGCCTGGTGGAGATAAATCTTTGATCTTTTTGGCTAAAAACTTATGTCTATTGCTTCTGGTTTCTACAAAAATGGGTCGCAGGATTATATACACCGAGTTGGGAGAACTGCTAGAGCTGGTCGATCTGGAGTTGCTATTTCACTAGTAAACCAATATGAAGTGCAGTGGTATAAGCAGATAGAGAACCTCATCGGTAAGAAATGCTGGCTGTGTAATTTCTAGCAACTATCCAGCTGATGTTTTCAATCTTTTGTTGGGATGAGTAAATAATACATTTTCATCTCTTAGGCAAGCAGTTGCCCCAGTATCCTGCTCCAGAAGAGGAAGTTTTACTATTCTTGGAACGTGTAACAGAGGCCAAAAGAATCTCCCAAATGGTATTGAACTTCCACTTCAACATTATTATCCTTTTGATTTGCTTGTCATAATGATGTCAGATTTACTTTTTTAGAGTTAAACTGAGTATTCCATAAACTTCAGTATTCTCCTTTTCTGTTTTAGTTCTTTGAAAAAAAAATTAAAAAACAGATTTTGGAAACAAGTAAAATAGTTTTTTTCCGACAGTGTTCCTAAAGTCCGTCAAATACCACTTTTTGCACTATATTAAAGTTCATTTTTTCTCTGTTACTTGGTCATAATTTTGTCATTATTTGAAAGTTAAAGTTTTTTACAAGTTTGTTTTTGTTTTTGATATAACTTGTGCAAGTAACTTTTTAAATTATATAAAATGAACAATTGAAGCCTGATAACCGCTCCCTGGACGGGCCTTCGGATTTTTGAATATAAAAATTTAGTTGCCACTGTCCTGATTGTATATTGTTAGTCGAAGCAGGCACATATAGGGGTGGAACCGGCCTGGTCTGGAACCGGGCCCGGCACTGTTCAGGACCGGATCGGGTCCTTTTTCTGGTTTCGGCCCTAGGACCGTCCCTGTCCGCCCGATTACCTGGTTCTGGTTCACAGTTTTGGGGACTGAACCGGGCGGTTCCCGCCCCGGTTTCGGGCCCAACTGGCCAATTAATTATTATTTTTTATATTTTTACTCTTGAAACAGGGCAATAAACAAAAAAATAGCGGGTCCAGGACCAGAACCGGACCGACCAGGCCCGGGACCGGCCCAGACCTGAAAAATACCAATTCAGTCCTGGGCTGCATAAAAAATATCCTAGGACTGGCGGTCTTGTACCGGAAGTGGGACCAGACCGACCCATGTCCACCACTAGGCACATAAGATGGATGAGTAAGTTAGTGTAGTGGAACATTGAGCGTGACTAGCTTCCACCTTTTGCTGCAGAAAATTAAAGAAACTGGAGGCCATAAGAAGAGAAGAGGTGGTGATGAGGAAGAAAATGATGGATATTTAGGTATTAAGAGAGGGAAGTCATCTAAGAAGCCAAAGAGAAAATGATACGAAAACAGGCTTTCAAGTTCGATCTTCATGTTTTAGTTCATCTTCTCTTGCCCCAAGTGTCAATTTTATTTTTAAATTGATGTCTAGGTAGCAAAATTGTCTTGACTTTTATTTTAGTTATATACTCTTCGTCCTAAACTATTTATCAGTTTAGCCAATTCTTTTGTCACGACCCTTTTTCTTTGATAACATTTATTCAATTTTGTTTGTGAAACAGTCAAACAACTAATTCATTTCACAGACTCACAGTAAACGACGTGAAACTGTTTTATTATTCTTTCGTCTGGAAATAGTCAAGTAGTTAAATTGAACAAAAGTATGGGTGGATCGGTTCCGGTTTGGGCCTGGGCCCGGCCGGGCCTCGGTTCAGAAATGGGAGGCCCGGAACCGGCCTGGGTAATCCCGGGTCCGGGCCGGGCCGGGCCTCGGTTCTATTTTTTTTTTTTGGCTTTTCCTAATCAACCCCCAACCCTCCCCCCTCACCCCCAAACCGCCCCAAACCACCTCAAATGGCCCAAAATACAAAGCCCAACCCAAAAACTTAAAAAAAAATTCAAAAAAAAAATTAATTAATTTGGCCTGAACTGGGCCGGTTCGCCAATCAAAGGGCCCGGGCCCGAACCGCACAGTAACCGGGCCGACCCGAACCGCCCCCCGGACCGGTTCCCGGGCCGGGCCGGTTCAAACAGTAACCGGGCCGGTTCCGGGCCGCTCGGCCCGAGTCCATCCTTAAACAAAAGGACTACGAATGATTAAGAAATACGGAGTATTAGTCAAGAATGAAAAAAGGTTGATTAAATATGGAATCAATCCTTTTCTTTATTTATCATTTCATTTTTATTTTTCATGAATCTTTCCATTGATTCTCAGTTCTTACAATCTTACCTTTTGCCCTTTTGGAGTTTTGGAGATCAAAATCATCAAATTGTAAAACGAACACTTCATTCTTTATTTTCTTAACATGCAAGCAAAATTCTAAATTTTATTTCACATTATGGAATAATGTGTAGAACGAACATTTTATTTATACATTATGGAAACGATTCTAAAATTATTCCACGGTAGTCATTAACTTCACTAATTTATCAAATAAAATTTGCCAAATTCTTTACTTCTATTTGAAAATTGATTTACCCAAATCATAACTAATTGAATAAGTGAATTATTTATTTAGTACTCCATATTAATTTTGAGTTTTCATCCCAAATTTGATCTAAATTATTGTTAAACTCGTGAATAAATAAATTAAATCAAATACAAATATATAAGAACTTAAGAAGTATAAAGTTGTGAAAATTGCATGCATCTAGTAACCAATGCTAGAAAATTAATGTAGGTCCAACAGGGTGAAGACTTATGCAGTCAATCTGGGGATGGATCGGTTCCGGCCTCCGGGCCACCCGAACCGGGCCCAGCCCGGCCCGGCAACCGGTCATAGGACCGGTCCGGCTGGACCGAACCGGGAATTACACGGGGCGGGCTTGGGCCTCCTAAAAGTGGAATCGGCCCGGACGGGCCCGGTCCGGGCCTATTTCTTTTTTTCTTTTTTCAATTTTTTTTCTTTTCCCCGGGTTGAGCTGGGTGTTTTGGGGGGGGGGGGGGGGGGTGAAGGGGGGGGTCGGGGGTTCATTAGAAAAGCAAAAGAAAATAAGAAAAATAACATTGAACCGGCCCGGGACCGCTGTCTACCCAGGCCGCTTCCGGTTCTCCCTTCCCAAAAAAAAGCCCGGCCAGGCCCAGGTCCGAACCGGAACCGATCCGGCCCGGGTCCATCCCTAAGTCAATCTACACCTCTAGTATCCTAGAAACTTGTAGAGCACGTCGATTGCTTTCAAGAGCTGTGCTCATGAAAGATTGAAGTCTTATGATATTTAATATGAATAAGTTTATTCTACGAGTTTTAGGTTAATTTCATACTTAGTATGCATCTTTGACTTTATCCACTTTTAATACATGATTATTATGTTTTCTATTTTCGCCCATACAGGTTCTTCCGACAATGTTTCCGATGGTTAAAACCACTAGAAAATGACCACAAACGGTTGAAAAACATTAATTAATTACCAAAAGTGAATAAAGTGAAAGATATAGACTAAATGTGAAATTAACATAAAACTCATAAGACCAAAAGTGAAAGTTATTCTATTAAATATGAAATCCTAATTAAAACTACTCACAATTCATAATTGATGGGATAACAGAATTGGGATGAAAAGTATACTCTCTACAAACATCTAATACATCCCAGTATTCTTTAGAGTAGCTAATTAAAGTAATTTTTCGATAATTTTATAAGTTTTTTCTTGAGGAAGATCTTACCTTTAAAATTGACATTTTCTGGAAAAACTAAATAATTAATAATATAACAAATGTCATCATCATTAGTTGATACACCTGCTAGCATTCTTCCTTTTAAATAAACCCTACCAGTATAATCATGACATTAGGCATGGACCCGGTTCGGGCCGCCCGGCCCGGGACCGGCCCGGCCCGCCACTGTGCGAGCCCGGAACCGGCCCGGTTCTCGGGTCGGGGTCCGGGTCGGGCCTAGGCCCGGTGGGGTGGCCGGGTCCGGGCTCGGGCCTTGAATTTGGCGAACCGGCCCGGCCGGGTCGGGCCCGGGCCCGGGCCGAATTGATTTTTTTTTAATTTTTTTTTCTTTTTTTGGGGTTAGCCAAGTTGGGCTTGATGGTTAGGAGGGGTTTGGGGGTTTGGGGGGTGAGTGGGGGGGTTAGGAAAGCAAAAAAAAAAAAAAAAATTATAACCGAACCGGAGGCCCGGCCCGGCCCGGACCGGACCGGACCCGGTGGCTACCCGGCCCGGCCCGGACCGGACCGGACCCGGTGGCTACCCGGGCCGGTCCCGGGCCTTCCTTCCCAAAAAAAAAGCCCGGCCGGGCCCGGCCCGGAACCGGCCGGGCCCGGGTCCATGACTGCATGACATATGATACCAAGTTATTTACGTGTTGCACCATTCAATTGGTTTAAAGCTTGTTTATAGTGAAGATAAATTCCTAAATTTTATAGACTGTATAAATGCATAATTACATAGAGCATTTTATTAAACAGATTAAATTAACTTACCCAATTCATAATCGTGAAACGTAAATGAAATATATGCATCGTAAAGCTATTCTTGTAATCAACTTCGTACATTTTATCACATCCAATCTAACGTAAACACTAAATAAACACATCATTTAAGTACAAATTATTCTTTGCATCTTACAAAATATTGCTACAAAACCAAAGGGCCACCGCGGCAACGCACAAATATACATATTATCATTGAAAAACACTAATTTTAAGCACGAAAATAAGATAACCGTGAAATCTTTGGTTGAGTGTACTAGTGTAGTGTGAAAGACTACAAGCAATGTGGTTCACCCCCCGGCTTGAGCTTCACTTACTGATTTGTCCTTTTCCTTTGGCTGTTCATGAGCTTTCTGTACAAATGCTTTATTTGGGGCCAGAATTATAAACATATTCCTGTCTCTGAAATTCTTGTTCTCCAAAGTAGCAAGCTGTGATAATTACGAGAAAACAGAAGAGGAAAAAGTAAGAGGAGCTAACAAAGTTCTGCTCTCAAAACGTAATTGGTACAATAATGATAATGACAAAAATATTTTTTCAGTGTATATATAAACCTAGAAACTAATTAAGATTAGCTATGAAATTCTTGCATTTGGACTTCTTGCACTCCATAAGAGCAAGCTGTGATATCTCCAAAGGAAACCTTTAAGTATATATGATGTACTGATTTTTTTTGTTGATAAGTAGGTCCTCATCATTAAGGACCCCCTATATAATGTACTGATATTTTGGCACAAAACCTATTAGGCTGCTGTCTGAATAGATATAAGCCTCTCTTACAGCAGGCCGATATAAAAACTGTTGATATCAGATCTGTTTGGTTCTTTAAGTTTACCGTTTAACTCATAACAAGTAGTACCCCAATATTAAGCAACAACTGTTAACAAACATATAACCATAAACAAGCACAAAAATGTTTGTGAGGAAAAATAAATTAACACGCAAAATCATTGCAAAAACATGCGTAGATTAGGTGAACTAAAAATTAACTCAAATAAACTAAATGTGAAAATTTCAAATGCCAAATAAAATATGCATGCATGTTTATTATCCATATACATTGAAATCACCGTTAAGAAGACACAAAAAACAACCATTAAATCATTAATAAATTAATAACCCATGTGTATGAACCGAACTGGATTATAACAGTTCAATTCTAATTGGTCTCCATCCCCGGTTTCAAAATCCATGCCATACACCTTATCAATTCATAACTCCAAATTTAAGTAAACAAATAAAAGTATGATAAGTTTTATTTGTCTACTAAGTAAAGAATCTCAAGCTAGACGGTCACCATGTAGAATTAATAACAGTATCTGATGGAATGACATGCATTTGGTCACACTAAAACGATTTTCTATATCACGGGGTCCGCAGTAAGAATTTTAAACTTTTTTTCCCTACCACATTAAAAAATCCTAAAGTTGAGGGTAACCATGTAGAATTTTAAAAAGTTTAATTAAGGCTCACCTTACTTTTATGTTCTTAATTTCTTATAAATAACCATTTAACACAAGTCTGTGACTCTGTGTACCATGAGATGAACACTAACACTGTAAATATAAGCACCTTTGAGCTTTTGTAGCATTTTAGATGTGAAAACGTAGGAGCAAACTTACCTCTCCAACATCATTTTGAAATTGTTTGAGCAGCTCAGTCGCTTTACTTTTAAACTCGTTCTCACGACCCTTTAGATTCACAATAACTTTCACCTGAAAAGAATTGACATTAGAGGGCATACGAACTGGTAAATGCACAGTATCTCAAATAGCAAGTAACCTTATTGCCATCTCTTAGAAACCTCTGTGCAGCTCTCAAGCGCACAGAATAATCATGCACATCAATGCTGTAACTGCAAATAAAATGTTAAACCAATACCCCATTATGATTTGTTCAAGAAGTTCAAATTGACTCAGTATGTTGCATGCATCAATGTCTACAAAAATTAGAGAACATAAGTTGAAAAGTTGGTGTCGTTAAAAAGTAGAATCCCCAAAATTAATGTTGTTGCACTGCTCAAATGGATAAGGGTATACATGTTCTACAGTTTTTGAGACTGCACCAATCTTCTCATATGCATTATAGAATGAGTTTATAATGATTTTCAACTACACTATACTCTCTGAGGTCCAACATAATGCTCTTCAAATATCTTTGAAGCCTTATTTCCATTAGGGATTTTATTAAAAGGATGCAGCATTAAGCATACTAATGACTCATTTTGTCAGAATTTTCAGTCAACCATAGTCACTTGTCATGGCATATGGTGACAATCATGGCGCCAAGTCATTTGTCCATGGCAATGACGATGACACATTTATAGCGTCACTACATGACTCAAAAGGTGAGCAAACAAATTGGATGCCCACATTCTAACCAAAACATGTGAAGTTAAAATAGTTGAAAGTAGTTTAAATTAGTTAAATTAGCTTAATACCCGCATTTTTTAATACCCTTCTGCACAGCTTCTTGACTTTGGCTTTGCGTTAGTTGCATTATTTTCTCTGGCTTTATGTTAGCTGGCATCTGGCGTCTTTATATACTTCTTATTAGGGGTTTTATTAATATTATCGTCTGATTGCTTCATTAGATAATTAGTAATCAAAACCATGTTCACAGGCAGACTAGTTAGTTAATGATAAGGTCCAAAGACCAAAAGTAAAAAGCATGTTAAATCTGTTTTAAAAATGGCGCACATGGCACGGCGCTTGCAATGGTGCCAATATGGCGTCACCGCGTATTTAGTCATCGCCATGAAGTTTTTTGTGGCGAAGGGCCTTCGTGCCGCCAAATGGTGCATTTGGTGAATTGGTGTGCGCCATATTGCGCCATCAACAACTATGCAGTCAACAGTGTCAAGTATGCATGCAACAGGTAAAGTGAACTGATTTCAATGCCAAATACCTTAAGAGCATCACCTGTTGAACACAATAACTAAAAAACAAATTTTGGAACGGAGTGTCAGAGTGCATGTGTACACATGTAATCAATGGAAAGCATATGTTTAGGCGCACATGTCAAGAGATTTGGGTGTATTTATCACGATGAACAATTCAAGTTTCTTGAAGCAACAGAAATTAACGGAATAGAGGAATTGAATTGGGTGTATTTATTGCGACGAACAAGTCAATAAAAAGTTTCTAAAAGAAACAAAAGTCAACAAAGCAGAGGAGTAAATAGCAAAGTATTTCTAAGTTGTAGCATGAGAGGAACTTACCCCATTTTCAATTCCTTCAAATCCATGCGGTTGGCTGTCACTCAATGAATACTTCAGTAAGAAAAAGTTAACCAGACTACTCCTTAGGAAAAAAACACATTTTACATGTTCCTTACTATTAAATTAACCATGAAGTTATTCGAAATTAAATGATACTTACCAGCATTTTTCTTCTGCTGGTCCTTTTTCTTCTTTTGCAGTTCATATTTGTATTTACTACATAGAGGAAAGCAGATTATTTTTAATCGTGAAACTTTAAACCTACTAGGAACATAGATTACTGCATGTTTATCACTCAGAAATGCCAACTTCTGGTCATTCTAAAGTACGCCAGTTGCAAATCCTAGAGGTTCAAACAAGAAAATAACATTCTAAATGTAACCAATTTGCACTTGTAATATATAGGAAACAAGAAGAGTGAAGAGGTGCATCTTACTTGTAATCCATTATTTTAACAACAGGAGGGTCTGCTTCTGGAGATATAATAACCTAATGGATTATCAGGGAGTATCACAGACAATAAAAAAAATTAAATACTACTTGTGTTGAATAAAGCATAAAAAATGCCAAATATCAATTTAACAAATCTGGTCATTAAACATGCCTTCTTTTGACAAGTGAGAAGTTTTTTAAAATAGGATATCATATATTTGATATTTAGATCTTGTGCGAGTATATATGCATGTTTCTCACTAACGTTGGCACTAAGAGTTAGCACCAAGCTCTCTGAGATCAAATCTAAAGAGTAAGCCTTTTATGACTTTATCACAAGAAATCTTAATAATCAACCTAATAAGTACTACTCCCTGCATCCCTCCCATCCTTAATATATGGCTTTAGAAGGACCAGTTGTCTTTTCTACAAGGCATTGATTTTCAATAAAGCATTTACTATTATTTCTATTTGCTGTGCCTAATAAATAGACTTTTCAAGTTCTCTTGTCATGTTTCATGACTTACGAATTGATTTTTCAATGTTGACAACAGCCACCCTCAACCAATCACCTTCTAATGCTATTTTTTAAGTGGAAATAACCTTTGATGAGGTTGGTTTTAGTACTTCATCTCATTAGCATTATTCCTTCTTAGTTCTCACTTACTTTGCAAGAAGATTATGAGTTGCTCTTTTGCACAAAGTTATAGTGGAAGTGTGGAACTAATCTCAAGTCTCAACTCAACCAAATAATTAGCACTGTAAAATTTAAGCCGCTGATCCCAGCTTAAGGTTTTGCTTCTGATGATAAATAAATGAAAGTAAAATCAGGGTATAGTTTTAAAAAACAAGGCTCTATATGATAAAATATCTTCAATACAAAGCGGATCACAAATTCACAATATAATATTTAAAGCAACATCCTCCCTAAATTGAAAAAAAATCTACTATCTCCGTCCCACTAACATTGGGACATGAAGAGGTGGTGTGGTTATTAAGAAAAGTGGGTCTATGTGGTTGATATTGAATTGACAAAGTAAGAAAAAATTTAGAATGATTTAGAACCGCATAAATTTTACCAAATTTGGTATGAGACAATCTTAGTGGGACGAAGAAGAAAGGAAAGATGGGACAATCTTAGCGGGACGGAGGGAGTAATATTTAACTACTTGCTTGGGATTGTATGATTTACCTGACTATGGGTTATAAATTATCATAAGGTCTACAGGAAGCATATCTAATCTTTTCATCAAAGATTAGCTTTCTGTCAACAAAAAACCAGCAAGTTCCCTAATATATGAACTCAAGCAAGCTCTAACCTTTTAACTCCGTACATCCCTATGAATATTTTGAATACATTTCAGCTTAAGACTTCTGCAGTCCAATCAGATTCCTCTTACTGTACTCATCTCTTAGATGATTCTGGTTCAAGGATAAAATGAATGTTTTGAATCCATTTCAGCTTAAGGCTTGTGTAGTCCAATCATATTCCTCTTACTGTACTCATCTTGTAGATGATTCCGGTTCAAGGATAACATCAATTGCACACTACACAGCTAAGCTGAATCCTCCATGAGAAATCACAGAAAAGTAGAAAAAGATAACTCCAATGTTCAAAATACGGAGTTAGTAACGCACCAAATCAAGTTCAGAGTCCTCAGCTCTTTGAATAGCTTCACTTTTGGAAACTATCCCCACCTAATGTAAACAAGAATGCAAATCAATTAAATGCTTAAATTTTAACTATGGAAAACTAATACATTATGTAATACTCGTTCTCTGATAGAACTAACCATATTTTGTTGTTGATCAATAAGTCTGACATCCTTTGACCTATATAGAGCAGTCAATTCCAATCAGAATTCAGTACACGCAGGAGAAAACTATGCAGTGAAAAAACATATTTTCAGATGAAGTAAATACAGTAAATACATAATTAAGTCCGTGATAAGCATTACTTGAAGGAAGACGAGAATTAAGTTATCACACTTTTTGCATAAAATCCATGCCCCGTCCTCCATTCTCTGGTGCCAAGTGAACGAAACCTAAATTATAAAAAAATTGAATTGTTTAAAAGGAAGAACCTTATAGAAGAGATGTCTAGGGCGTCGTCATCATTAGAGCTGCCTGCACGACGGTCACTATACTGGGCGGAGATTGCGGTGGTGGTGAAGGGGGAGCTGGACAAAGAGAATGTGGGAGAGGGAAGGCGGATGGTCAAGTGGGTGGACTGAAGATAAGGAAGGAAGATGGGTTTCGGTTTAGAAATAATGGAGTTGAATGTCAAGGTACTGGCGAGACCCGCCATGGCAGAAAAATGTAGAAGCTTTGAGTTGGGTTTTGAGGACTAAAATCGGATCTTATGAGTAAATTCTAAACCAGAGTCTAAAAAGAAGTTAAAAAAATCCAATGCCAATTAGAACATTTCCATTCATTTCTTCAAATAAACTAGAAATATTTTGGGGTGTTTGGAACTATTTATGTTTCTGCTTCTTTTTTAAAGCAGAATTGGGATTAGTTTTCATAAACTCGTTCTAAACAAACTGATTCTTTGAATAAATTAGACCACTACAACTTCTGTTCCTGCTCCCTGAAAGAGTAGAAGCAAGAATCAGATCCAAACACCCCTATCCATTACACATGCAATCAAATTTAAATAATCTCAAAAGTTAAAAAATCGTAAGTAGATAAATTTAAGAAATAATTTGGAATTATATATTGATATCACATTCTCTATTCACAATGGGAAACTGAATAATAATCTTGAAATAATCCAATACATCACCTAATTAATCTTCAAAAGTAGTAATGAATTAGGAAACTCTTTATTGGGATATTGAGCTGACAAAAGTCATCCATCAATAGGGTTGCGCATTAACCGGGTCGGACCGTATTTTGGACCTGAACCGGATCGGTATTAACCGGTCCGGACAGGACCGGTATTAACCGGTCCGGACAGGACCGGTATTAACCGGTCCGGACAGGACCGGTATTAACCGGTCCGGGTTTCGGTCCTTAGTTTTTCAAGATTCCGGGTTCCGGTCCGGTCCGGGTCAAACCCGGAAAAAACAGGTTTGGACTAGAATGGACCAGTAACTATTGTTCCGTAAAATATATACTTCGTTCTGCATCATTAGTCTTTATGCTTATGGCTTACTTTTGTCTTTTATTATATAAACGAATATATACGGAGTGTATATTTAGTGTCTAATTATTTCCTAAGTTGTTTTTGAATTGTTTATTTTTGTGTAGGTGTGCACTAATATGATCGTAGTTTATATTTGTTTGAATTTTCCAAATTGCTTTTTATTAGTTTCTTTATTTGCAGGTGTGCATGTAGTTTAGACGTAGTATGTTTTTGGACGTAATTTAGTTTTTATTACTCTACAATAGATTTTTCCATTTTAATGTACAAAAAGATTGTAGTTTTAATTATTGTGGGAAACTATTTGTTACGATTGAATGATTTTGATGACTATATTCCAAAATTAATAAATGAGCTAAACAATTATTTAGTCTATTTAGCATATCCGCACATAAATTATAGTTTGAAACAACAACATCCAAACCTTATTCCTAAAAAAATTTGGGGTTGGCGAAGAACACTCTAAGATAATGTCTTTTTTTAAAACGGGTCAATTAGGGTCAAAACCGGACCGGACCGGAAAATTCAGGTCCGGACCGGTTTGGACCGGTTAGATTCAGGTTCGGTCATCAGTCCATAAAAAATGATGATTCCGGTTCCGGTCCGATTTTGGACCGGTGCACACCCCTATCCATCAATGCTTCTCATGGGCCGAACGCATCTCATTGAGCAAACAAAACACGAAGGAGAAGGTCGGACGATCCCATCATGGGCCGAAAAAATTAAAAAGCCAACGAACACCTAATGGGTCGAACGGGGCTAGAAAGGCGGTTGTGCCCAAAAAAAATCAAGCCTTTAGTTGTTAAGCATGGAACCAAGGATGTGGGTGTACACAGTACACCCCCATGAAAAGGCGAGCGACACCATATAAGAGCTCAGACTGGACAAGTATGTTCGACATTTCGAATAATTGCTTTGTCCTAGAATTTTTTGTGCAATTTACCCCCCTTGCACCAGCACTAGTGAAGATTTAGCTAGTCCATATTTGAAATTTGGCGGGAAACCTCAATTATGACGGAAAACACATTTAATGTGAGCATAAGCTGAGCAAGAGGACGGAGCATGAACAACAGTAAGTGACACGATGAGATGGATCAATCAATGGCTATGTGTAAGTGACAATTCATATAAATACCCTCTTTTATATAACATTTACGCTATGTGTATTGCATATTAACATTTAAAATATTGCACTCACAAAAGGTTTGATTTTATTATCAAAATGCTACCGTGCATTTTCAATCATTAGATCTTACAAATGGTGGACCAAGATTACTTTTTTCTTGTATTTTGAAAATTAGGAGCACTTTATATCTGAACCTTTACCTATATAGTTTTAAGGGAAAATAATTTAAATGTCGCAAACTATGTATGAGTGTGATTTAGGTGTCCCAAGTTTGCACATGTAATATATACACTCATATCTTTATATAAAAAATTATGTTAGAATCATGATCATACGTTTTTCACAAATATAATTTTATGATGTTAAGTACATAATTTAAGATACACAAATTATTAGGTTGCAACTAAATTTAGAATGTACCAGATGTAATATTATTTATTTCATAAACAGACTTTTAGAATGTTAATTGCATCCAAACAAAGTCTAGAGTATTTTAAATTATGTACTTATTACATAAATTTATATTTGTAAAAAACTACTCCATATATAATACCAGTAACAAAAATAATTTTTTATATAAAATTGGAGATATATAATTCTACTAGAGCGTTTGTCTGATACCAATTCAAAGTTTTAAATATTTATATTATTTTCCACTACTTTTAAGTACTTGGAAAAAAAATGCTCAAGGTATCCCATTTTTATGGTCACAAATGTGACAACACTTTTAAGTGAGGCAACACATTTAGGGTATGTTTGGCGCAACTAGCTGAAAAGATACTTGTGTGAGCTTTTTAGTAACTGTTGCCTTTTAGTGACTGAAAAGATCTTAAAAATAAAAGGTTTTAGCTGTTTGGTAAAAAACTAACTGTTTGATTTAGTTCTATTTGATATACAAGCCATTAGGATTGGTTAAAACTAAAAGTCACGGACTTTTCTCATACGCTACTCCATGTAGCATTTCAAAAAAGATTTTTTAATTTTTGAAAACCTCTTAAAAATTATCATGTCAAACACACAACTAGAAGCCTTTAGAGACTTTTTGATAGTATAAAAGTTAGAAGGAGACAAAGTGTGATCTCATTTGCACAGAGGTAAGAGTCAGATATGTACTCGAAGTTGCATAAAAAGGGTCAAATAAGTCTTTATCTAAAAGGTTCTGTCCGGTCGTCACCATTTGGGGTGGTTCCTGGTGGATTTTTTTGACGAATGTTTTTGAGCGTCTTATTCATTAAGTCTAGTTTACTCATACCAAATTTAAGCTAAAAATTCAACCGGGAAGGCATTCAAATGAATTCTTGAAGATAACTGTGCAGTTAAAAGCGCACTTATCTTCAAGAATTCATTTGAATCCCTTCCCGATTGAAGTTTTAGCTGAAATTTGGTATGAGTAAACTAGACTTATTGAATAAGATGCTCAAAAAATGTCATCAAAAAATTCCACCGGGAACCGCCTCAAATGGCGACGGCCAGACAATAAGGATTTATTTGACCCTTTTTATGCAACTTCGAGTACAAATCTGACACTTACCTCCATTTGCACAGCATAAATGTTGTTGGAGGTATTGGTCCTACCAAGGCCTCCCTTCCACACTCTATTTTACTCTCTCTTGAATACCTTTTCTTTGGTATATATCCTGATCAAATATATACCTATTTGAGTTGACTTTCCTACTGGCTGGCCCCTTTGTTTGCTATCCGCTGCCACCACTTTGTCTTGGCCTATACATGTGACTCTCCTTTGTCTAAGTAGCATGTGAGTGTCTTTTGTCAAGCATCACCCGTGACTCCCTTGGCAACCTATTTGAAGTCCTTGCTTCTTCCCTTGTTGAAGCAGCCTGCGAGATACTCCATAGAGAGAGCAGACTCCCTTTCTTCTTCCTTTCCTTTGTGTGAGAGTAAAGAGAGGTCCTTTGTGGAGAGTTGAGATATGGTGTGCTATAGCTTCCTCCTAGAGTGGTGTGTGAGAGTGTGTGTAGATAGACCTGAGCCGGAGACGGATATACGATCCTTACAGTGGTATCAGAGCCGGAACCGCCGTCTGCCGCTGCCCGCCGCCTGCCGCCACCGTCGTCGATTGAAGCTCTGGTCATTCGATTCTTTTTCTGGTCATCAATTTCGAAGGTCACAGACCTTTATTGTTGTTCGAAGAGAAGACTTGCACCGGTTCCAGATGTTGGACGCTGCCAAGCTCGCCGGAATCTGAAGCTTCGCCGTCGTCACCTGGGAGCTCCTCCGTCGGAATCTGCCGCAGGAGTCTCCGGTCACCGGTCCGTCGCCAGAGAGCTCCGCCATCGAGGTCGCTACTCGTTTTGGTGCTGAGTGTCGTTGTTCGCAGAAAGCCAGGAACGAAGAAGACGAAGGGCGTTGGGTCTTCTCGTATCTGGAACGACGAAGAAGAAGGTCCCTGGGTTTCCCTGGACGCGTGGACCCGTGGAGTGTTGGGCTGAAGAAAGCTGCTGATAGTTCTGGACTGCTGGAGTTAGTGTGTTTTTGGGCTATTGGGCCTTTTGGGCTGCTGGGTTACTGTTGATATTGCTGGACCTGGAGTTACTGGACTGCTGCTACTCTTCTGGAACTGCTGGACTGCTGGAGCTAAGCTACTGGATTGCTGTTGGAGCTGAGTTGCTGACTTGGACGACTGGAGGTGCTGGACCGTCAGTCAACGCCGGTCAACCGCCGGTCAATGCCGATCAATGTCAGTCAACCCTCCAGAAAAAATCCCAATTTTTTTTAAATTTGGGTAGGTAAGGTCGAAACGCTCTCCTAGGGTTTCGCGAAGGTAAGTTTTCTTTAAACTTCATATTTGTAATTTTCCGGTTTTAATTTAATTTAATTTATTCCCCCTCCCCGCGGGCCGCCGGTTGATTTAATCCCGGCCGCCAACCCCCCAGGTACGTTCTAACCCTTCTCCTTTGTGGTAGACTGTTTTAGTTGATTAATTGAATTGCTAAGTGTTATTTAATTTAATTGTTATGCGTAGGGGTGGTGTTGAGTTTAATCCAACACGATATAGTAAATATATGTATAAATGTGTATGAACAAGCTATTTTTACGTGGAAATCCGGAAAGGGGGAAAACCACGGGACTTTTTAGGCTAATGTCCAAGCCCTCTCATTCTCATTAGGACTCTCCTCACCATTACATAGTAC